CTCACTGACGATTCGATCATATTGCTAGACGCTAAGGATCTCAGTAAGGAACTACACGAGGCCAGTCTATCGAAGACAATGTTGCGTGTTGTGGTTTGCAACGCACAACATTGTCTGCGATCCTCTGTCACAACTGGTGCATGCTGAGAGAGGTCTCAAGTTTTATGTCGACCAATTGAAGATGCAGGTTGTCAGGTAAGTCTTGTCCCGATTCACGTGCGCGTCACATGCTTATCTACGGGTACTCAAAACATGATGACTTCTTCCAGTACTCTTCGGCTAGCTTGATTCTCCAGCGAAAGGCATATGGGATGCAAACACCGGTCCGGTCACAGCTTCCCACCCAAAACTCGTCAACTCAACTCGTCCCACCCTGCCGACTTTACCGGTGTCCATCGGACCGCCAGTGCCAGTTTTCCACCCTCACACAGCTAGCCTAGCTGAGCTAGGGATTGCCCGCCAAGTTGCAGACAATCAGAAACAACCGGGTGCTGGAGGGCGAGAAAATTGACCCAGCACGCTCACCGTGAAAAAAAGATCGGTCCATTCACTCGTTGATGATAAAGTAAGTGTCAGTGAACCTCACAATAAAGTTAAGACCGGCAGCGACAACAACAAACATCACAATAAAGTTAAGACCGGCAACAACAACAACAACAACAACAACAACAACAACATCATCATCATCATCATCATCATCATCATCATCATCATCATCATCAAAGTAAATACATAGGCTAGAGAATAGCACAGAGTAACTAGGCTCAGAGTAACTAGCTTCGCGGGCGAGGGCCTCACGGACCAGTGTTTGCACCACTCTACACTCCACAAACTTCGTGTAGGGTAACACGCAAGTTGCATGATGCAACATGAAAAGTCCTTTGTGTAATGACACGATGTGGTTGGTGTATTAATTCAAGTTAGTTGAGTTGAGTGTTTATTTTTACGACAGGTCGCCCCTTCTCATAAGAAACCCAACGAGAGCGCCTTGCGCAACATCGTGTTTGTGCTGGATAATCCAACCTGGATCTCGACGGCTACTGGATCGTGCTGATTCAGCAGGGCTTGTCCTTTCTCAAGGGCATTTCTAACAGGCTCGGGTGAGCGACTGTTGGACACTATAAGTGCTATTCCGTTGTATACCTTCTGCGTCTTACCAGTGTTGTTATTGATGTCTTTGAGTTACTGAGTATTGTGCACGTGGGTATAATGAACGCTTGTAATGGACTATACAGCTACATCATAAAACCATGCCGTTAATAGGGTTGTGATTCGACTCGGAAACGAACCCAAGCTCAGTCC